CATAAGGGTTGTGGTTACAGTTCATCTACCCTCCAGGGATCAAGATGAGGATGTGGAGTCTCACCAGTAACAGCGGGGGGTACTGTGCGGCGCAGTGCTGTGACAGTTGCCATGGCAATCTCCTCATGAGAATATTTATGGGTGCAGGCATGGCCTGGGGTTACCATATTGGGCTTCAGCAAAGTGCCTTCCAGGTAGATGTGGTGGTCACTCAGAGCCTTGTAGACAGCAGCCAGCACCTAGAGCAGAGCAGGGTCAAAGTGGATTGGGATGGAGTTGGGGGGCAGGGGCAGGGGTCAGCCCCAAAGGCGTTGGCCCAGCTGCCTAGCCCCCACACTGCCCAGCCAGGCAGGCAACTTACCTTCTCGGTTACATACTGACAGCGCTTCAAGTCATGGTCCCCATCGGGGAGGATCTCAGGCTCCACAATGGGCACGATGCCATTCTGTGGGGGTGAGGGACAGAGTAGCCATGAGGCCTCCTAACCTCTAGGTCTCCACAGCCATCAGCCAAGATCTGATCTCCATGACAGAGACTCTGGCTTCACAGCCATCAGTGGACTGTACTCCTACAGGCATCTCCTCTGAGCCACCCACACAATCCCTATTCTGCCCCTCTGCTCACAGAGCCCTCCAGGGTCCTTCACGGGCCCAGGCCCGATGCTTGGTGAGGATCCAGAACAGTTGCCTCAGGGAGTGGGGTGGTATGTATACTGATACTCTAGAAACAAATGAGGTGGAAGGTGGCCTGTTGGGGGACCTGCAGGCCCACCTGCTGGCAGATGCTGGCATAACGGGCCAGAACGTTGGCATTTTCCATGATCGCAAGGGCTGAGGGAGTGTGTTCCCCAATTTTTAGCACACAGCGCCACTTGGCAAAGTCAGCCCCGTCCTTCTTGTACTGGGCACAGCGCTCAGACAGCCCATCCAGCCCTGGAGGGGGAAGAGAGGAGTCAGAGCATGGCAGAAGAGGTGCACTTACCAGAGGGATAGCAGCGTGGAATGGGTTGGTCTGGAGAGCAAGGAGAACAGTTCTCACCTTGGGTGGTAGTCTCGCCATTTGTTCCTGCCAGGGGTACCACACCTTTGTCCACCTGTGGGGGGGGTGGCCAACAACATAAGACAGGGTAAGTGGCCACTAATACTCCACTCTGCCCTCGACTTTCCTTAACCTCTCAAGCAGTATCTCATGGTTTGCAAATATTTTCTTTTTTTTATTTTAAAATTTTTATTTATTTATTCATGAGAGACACACAGAGAGAAAGAGGCAGAGGCACAGGCAGAGGGAGAAGCAGGCTCCATGCAGGGAGCCTGATGTGGGGCTCGATCCCGGGACTCCGGGATCACGCCCTGGGCTGAAGGCAGGCGCTCAATCGCTGAGCCACCCAGGCATCCCGCGAATGTTTTCACTTAGTTACACAACCTGATCCTAGGAGAAAAATACACGGGGATGTGACTGAACAAGAGCCTAGGCTCCTACCACTAACTCGGTGAGCCAAACACTTCCAACTACCCTGAGCTTCTGATTTTTTGTCTGTACAATGAAGGGAATACCGTGCTCTGAGAATTACAAGGATTAAAAATTCCAAGCAGGGGCACCTGGCTGGCTCAGTCGGTGGTGTGTGTCTCTTGATCTCACAGTTGTGAGTTTGAACCCCACACTGGCTGTGGAGAGGACTTAAAAATAAAATGTTAAAAAAAAAAAAAAAGGCCAAGCAGGTTCCAGAAGTTTCTAGCTTTTCTTGCATATGCTTTGGAGGTGATCTGGGGCAGACTCCACCCCCAAGTCTCCAGGCTCCCACCCCAATCCCCCAGCCTACCACTCTGGCCTTTTCTCTCCAAGACTCATCTCAAATCTCACATCCTGAGACCCAGGCTCCTCACCTTGATACCTACAACACCACCCTTGGATTTGATAACTTGGGGGAAGGGACGCCCATCGTCGGTCTTCTGGTACAGTGTCTCGTGGAATAGGATGACACCCCCAATGCAGTGGTTTACACGGTCGTCGGCGGTCAGCAGCAGCTGGCGGTAGAAGCGCCGGTTCTCCTCCGTGTTCTCAGTGCCAATGGACTGCAGCCGCTTGGCGATGCTCCCTGGAAGGGGGAATCATACAGAAATAATGGGATCAGCCCATCACCCTTAACCCTAGCGCCTCCTCCTACTGTGTCCTGCCCATACCAGTGGACTCATCTGCAGCCAGGATGCCCTTGCCCGGAGCCACGATGCGGTGAGCGATGTCAGAAAGCTCCTTCTTCTGCTCCGGGGTCAGCGCTGGATATTGGTAGGGCATGTTGCCAGTCAGTTCCTAAGCAAAGGATGCAGAAAGGGGGAGAACTGGTTAGCTGGGTCTCACCATGGTCTCCCAACAAGCAGGGCCCCTTGCCTGGTGGTCCGGACAAAGGTTCCTTACCTCCCCTGCTCCATACTGGTATGTCTTGGGGCACATTCTGTCCCCAGCCCTCCCCTACTCCCAACTTCCCTATACTAGGCCTGCCTCTTGTACCTCTCCTAACTCTGTTTGTTGCTGGGTGTTTCCCAGCTGAGGGTGGGGTAGCGTACTGTCATCTGGGGAAACGCAATAGGCCAGAGCCATGGACAAACAGGTCATGTAGAAGACGGACCCTTCTGGCTTGCGCTCTGCCATGGGGTCACCTTGCCTAGAAGCAGAACCGAACCAGAGTAGTTTAGAATTTAGAGGTGGTAGGCAGGCAGAGGGCCCAACCCAAGGACCGAGATGAGGGAAAGTTCTGTGCTTCGAGTCCCACAGCAGAAGGGCCAGAGCTGAGATTAGAACCCAGATCTTCTGACCACCAGGGCCTTTCAACCCACCCAAGATCCCAGGGCTGGCCCAGGCTTGAAGGCCTCAAGGACATCCCAAGGTCAAGTTTCTCCCCCCAGGTTTGAGGGAGGGGGTTAGGAAAAGGGTGTTAGAAAAAAGGGCAGAAATGTAATCAGAAGCCCAGGAAAGGGAAGCAGAGGAAGCCCAGCCGGAGGTGGCGGAAAGGGGTAAGGTTTGCCGATCTCACTGCTCATACAGGGTTAAGAGAATTGTAGAGAGGCAAGCGCCCCACCCCTTCCCCTGAAAATGCTCCCGTCTTTTCGCACGGCTGCAGCTGCTCCAGGCTCACAATCAAGGTCACCCGATAAGGAAAGACACGGAAAGTGTTAACGGGTCATCAGGCGCCTCCTAGGGGTTTCCCCCTCCTCGCCGGGGTCGCCCACCTCCCAAGGCAGAGACCAACCACGCTTTCGGAAACCCTAAAGCACTATAAGAACTGGCCCCCACCCCTCGCGGCCTCTTAGGATCCCCGCAGAGGCAAAGGGGTCATAACGCTTTGCACCTGGGGTCTCAGCAAGAAGAGGAGAGGAAGAATGGCCCTTCATTTCGTCCTGCTTCCTCCCCCGCCATGACTCAGCGCGCGGAGCCGCGGCACTGCGCAGCAAACCCGGGGAACTCAAGCCGGGGAGGGTTGCGGAGTCGGGACTGGAGCATGTGGGTGGTAGTGGGGCGTGGGAGATGCTGCGAATGCGGGGTGGGGGCGGGGAGGGCTTCCGATTGCCGCCGGTCCCCAGGATCCTTCTCCATGGTCCCTGACCTTCGCACGTGGCAAGGGGCGCTCACCTGGCACGGGAGGGGGCGGGTTTGCGGGGCGCGGCGGTGGAGGGCGGCGGGCCGGCGAGCGGACTGAGGGAGCGAACGCGGCCGTCGTCACCAGGACCCCGGTCTGCGGCGCGTTCCAGGAGGAACGCAGCCTATTCAGCTCCCGAGGGGGCGGCGCAGGGGGCGGGGAGGAGGGAGGTGGCGCCGGGCCTTATAAAGGCACCGCGCCAGCCTCCGCCGGGTTTTTTCCCTTGAAGCGGGCCGGAGGCGCCCTGGCGGCCAATTGCAGGCGAGGAACAGTGCAGAGGCCGCCCCCGAACGGCGAAGCCCGGAGGCGGCGCTTGGGCGGGGACAGCGCGGCGAGAACACGATCCCTCCCCCCGCCCCCTAAGACGTGACTCGGGCCACATCCTGCGGGTCGCCTGGGCCCTCCCCTCCCTCTCCCTTTCCCCCCCCAGTTGGCACGTTCTGGGGCGCCGTGACTCAGCCCATTTGGGGCACCGGAGGAGGTGGGGAGGGGGAAAGCGGGTGCGAGAGCCTCCCCCCGGCCCGGCCCGGCCCGCGGGATGGCCGCGAGTGTCCCGCTGGGACAGAACCCGGAGGTCGGGCGTCGGCCGGCCTCGCCCGCAGGCTCCGCTAGCCGGTTCAGGGGCTCCGGGGCGTGGGGCCGCCCTCCCGGGGTCACCAGTCCAGGCGGAAGAGCGGCCGCACGGGGAGGAGCGCGAGAGGGCGGCGGGGCAGGCGGAGGGCGGAGGCCGGGCGGCAGCGGTTCCGGGCAGCCGGCCCGCGCGGGTGTGGGCGCCGCAGGCGCGCCCGTCGGGCTCGGGGCCCCGGGGCCGGCCCTGCACCGCTGCGCACGCGCTCTCCGCCCGGGGCCAGCGCGGACCGGCCTGCAGCGGCGCCCGCTCGCCCCGGCGAGTCTGGGAGTGCGGCGCCAGAGTCCTCGCGGAAACGTCTCCCTGGGGCCTGGCTTCCCCCTCCGAATCCAATCTGCCCCTAGCTGGTCAGCCCCAGCAACACCGCGAGCCCCTCGTCCTAGGGGCCAGGCCTCCCTCCTACTCTGGGCCCCTTAGGCCGCACCCCACCCCACCCCACCCCTGCTGCGTCCCGCTGGCGCCCACCTGCGAGGAGGCTGAAGGAGAGGGCAGAGCCTGGTCAGCAGCGAGTGAGCCAGGCTGCTCCCGGGCTGGGTTATAAGGCAGCTCCTGCCCTCCCCCCAGCCAATGTCCCCAACCTCCTCCGGTGACCCCTGCCCTTTCCTTGCCACGGATCCCCTGGCAGGGACCTATATTTAGGGAAACCTGAAGCCCCTGACATTCATGCCAGCATGGGGCCTCAAGTGAGGAAAGGGGGAGAAAACCGTGGGCCTGCCCTACTTGGGGGGCCCTGTCCACTCACCGTACTTCAGAAGAATTTCCTTGGAAATCCAGCCCTCAGAAGGTGGCAAAAGAAATCAATCTTTGCACAGGGATCTGTGGGGAGGGAAGAAGAGGAAAGGAGATTCAGATCTGTGGGCCTCCCTGCCTTCTCCTCAGACCTCCCTCCCCTCTAGGCCCTCAGGGTGGCAGCTGTGATTCTGGAGAGACCATTCTTTTTGTGGGAGAGCAGATACAGATGCTACACTCACCTCAAAACAACCAAGAGTCCATGGATAAGGTGTGGCTGGGGTACCCTATATCCCGAAATTCAGGGCTGAAGTTTGTCCCATAAGGTGGTCAGTGGTGAGCAGTGTCTCCCACCCTCACGTTCAATTATAATAGTTTATGTGGGGACGGGAGAGGCAGGCAGAGGCTCGTGTCAGAGCACTAGCCCCTCTCTCTCCTGGCCCTCCAAAGGGGCTTCGGTCCAACTGGCCAAGGGCTCCCTGAGTCCTGCTCTGCAGAGGGGCCAGGCTCTCCACTGCTGGTTCCCAGGGGCAGGAGCTGAACAGGCCATCTGTGGTTCCAGTGGCCTGGAGAAAAGTGCCTGGAGGCTCATCAGGGATGGGGGCTTGGGGGCCCCGGGGGCTGGCCACTCTCCAAGGGGCAAGGACTCTGGATCTTCATCGGAGCTTGATCTCGAAGCAGAGACAGTTGAGGCTCTGGCAGTCAGGAAGTTGGCACGCACAAGCACAGTCACAGAGTGGGCAGCAGCGAGGGCAGCGAGGGGCCCAGCCCTGAGGGAAAGGAGAAGGGGGTGAAGGAGGTGGGCCAGAGTCCTAGTCCCCGAAGCTGTTTCCCTCTCAAGGGAGAAGGCAACAGAGAGGCCTGGAAAGCCCCATTTGCCCAGTGGAACAAAGGGTACCATCTACCAGTCCTGGAACAAATCAATTCCCTGTGCTGTTGAGAACTCAGCAAAGAAGCAGTGTTCCAAAGAGCTGAGTGCAGGAGCTGGAAGAAATTATCCAAGGGGTTCTTCCCTTCCCATTTTATAGGCAAGGGGACTAAAAGATCAAGTAGCCCTGTTCCATTAGGTCCCAACGTTCAGCTCAAAGATGATTCTACTAAATCCTTGTGGCCTCATTCAGTTCCAAGTCAGGAGACAAGGGGGAGTGCACACACATTTTCCATCCATGATGAAAAGAACCTGGTTCTGTGACTTTCTTCCTTGGCCTAAGACTCAACTGCAGGATCTCCATCATTTCTGAGTACCTACTCCCTGCAAGGCATGGCCTGTATTCATGAATGATTCTGAAAAATCTCAATTGTGTTTGAAAATGGTAATTTGCAGGTGCACCTGGGTGGCTTAGTGGTTGAGTGTCTGCCTTCGGCTCAGGTCACAATCCTGGGGTCCTGGGATCGAATCCCACATCAGGCTCCCAGCTTCTCCCTCTGCCTATGTCTCTGCCTCTCTGTGTCTCTCATGAATAAATAAATAAAATCTTTTAAAAAAATGGTAATTTGCAGATTAAAAAAAATTTTCTAAGATTTTATTTATTCATGAGAGAGAGAGAGAGAGAGAGAGAGGTAGAGGGAGAAGCAGGCTCCATGCAGGAACCCTGATGTGAGATTCGATCCCAGGACTCCAGGACCACGCCCTGGGCCAAAGGCAGGCGCTAAACCGCCAAGCCACCCAGGAATCCCTGAAAAAATGTTTTAAAGAGTCACCTCTCTTCTATTTATTAGAATCTTGTGCAGGGGGCCTCTTTACAAAAGAGGAAATGGAGGCTCAGAGAGGGAGCTCCTCCTCGACCCCACTGCCTCCTAAGGCCAGAAATATCAGCTTCTTTCTGGGTCTGTGGAGACAGGGACAGTTCATCTCATGTCACCAATGAGCTAGCCTGGGGACTTGTGCTCAACAGGTATGCGAGATAGAAATGAATGTTGAAAGAGTGGATGAATGAAAATCATTTCCCCCTCTTTGGGCAAAGAAGAAAGAAGAGGACTTCTCAGCTCCCAGGGGAAACAGAAGAGTTTGTCTCTTGGGGAATAGGACAGCATGTCCCTAGTGACAAGAAGGGAGAACTGGTCTATTTCAGCCTACTCCTCTCCTGCCTGGTGACTGGGGTGATCTGTGACTGCTTTACGCATGGACTGGAGTCAGGCCAAGTGGCTGAAGTGGGCCACACCCAGGATGTGACAGGCAGTTGGCTCCTTGAGGCCTGCGGCAGAGCTAGTGACAGTCACAGTTGCACAGTTCAATCAGATGCCAGGCCAAGCCAGGAATAGGGGAATGACCTTTGAAACAGCTGAGGTTTGGGGGTGCAGTGTCAGATGACTGGTAAGATCAGTTATCACTAGGGGCTCCAGTGAGGGGAAGGGATCTGCTGGCTGCAGGGACCGGGGTCTGAACTGGGCTGGCTGCTGCCAGCAGAACTGTGTGTCAAGGAGGAGGCTAGAAGCCATGGTGGAAGGGAGAGTGAAGTGGTTTTCTTGCATCTAATGAAGGGGTGGTTTGGGGGGGGGTCCCTGGGGAGTCCCAGTTTGGGATGAAGTGGGCTCTGGGGGTTTTTGGAGGACCACACGGTCATTCTGTGCGCAGCACTGGTGGCTGAAAGAGGCTCTGCCGCCTTCACCTCAAAGGAGAGGGTATTAAAAGCATTTCTGGGCTCTGTCCACTAGTCATTAATAACTGTCTAACGGATGTCTCGACTCTCACAAGCAGCCATGTGGCTTCTAGAAGGAATCTGCTACTTCAGTACATAAACAAGAATGCCACAAGCCTCTTAACCCTTGTGTCTCTCTAGGCTCTGCAGGTTCTGCTTTGATTCCTTTCACTGTGATTTTGTGATGGGCTGGCCATCTCTGGTGGTTAGAGCTCAGGCCCAGATTTGAATCAGGCTCAGGCCCAGGTTTGCTAACTCACATTTTGAGCCTATTTGGTCAGCTCTGAAACAGAATGCCAGCATCAGAGGCTCACAGTGGGGAATCAGGGAAAGGAACCCAGCACAATGTCTAGGACACAGTGAGCACTCAAGAAAAGGCAGTGATTCTTGCCACAGCTCTCTGTGCCCCCTGCCCCCTGCCCCAGCTGCCACCTCCAACCAACAGTAGTTCTTAACCCTGGCGTGCAACAGAATCACACAAGAACTTGTTAAAAATCCATAGACTCCAATCCCATCCCACACCTACTGGGGTGTGGGGCGTGGATGCTGGGCTTTGCATCTGTCTCATCTGTGCCTCTGATCACACACATGGCTGAGAACCAACCATCATACTATGTATGTATCATTACATTTCTCATGCTCTAGCCTAACTGCCTATTTCCTCCTCTCTTCCTTCGCTGCACAGTAGAAGCCCCGTGTGGGTTGGGACTGTGTCTACCTTGTTTCGCAGAGCCCCTAGGGCCTAGCACAGTGCCTGAACTGTGACTCCACAGATCTTTGGTAGGTGAAGAAATGCGTGAACAAGTGAATGAGATCCTTGCCACATGCTTGGTGAAAAAGGCAAAGCAGGCAGATGTCTCCCCCAGAGGGGAAGAGAAACCTGGGTTTGAGTCCCAGCCTGAGCCTCAGGTAAGACACTCCAGCCTCTGGATTTGAAGCCCGTTTCTCACAGCTGTAAAGTAGGCAAGAGCTTTGTCATAATTGTGGTTGTTACTGTTACTATAAGGAAACTGAAGAATAGACACTTTACAGTACTTTATGCAAAGACAGCTCAAGGACAGAATGACTCTGCCCTGCCCTGTGCCATTCTAGAATCCTTCCTTCCTGGCTCTGGCAGAGGCCAGGTAGATCAGGCTCTGAGGTCTCCAGGTCTGGAACTCCCTGCACCTCACTCCATCCTCACCCTGACCAAGGGGAGGCCCTGACCAACAGAAGGGGCAAGGGGCAGCACACCCCCAACAGGAGCCAGAAATAACTTTGTAACTGAGCATTTCCTATAAAACAGGCAGTGTTTAGGACCCAGGGCCATCTTCGTTTTCGCCTTTGCCCCCTTAGCCTCAGGCCTGGGATCCCTTTCCCGGCTACCCCTAGGAAACCAGAAACTTTTTTTTTTTTTTTTTTTTTTGTAAGAGGAGAGCTCCTTGCCCCATAATTTACTTAAAAACTCACAACATCTCCTGGGAATTTGACCAACTACAGTCAATCTAAATTATGAATTTGCTTCATCTTTTACCTCCCTTTTTCTTCCTGGGGAAGGTCACAACTTCAAGGGCAAGAACTTTGCTGTCTAGCTTGGAGCCCAAAATAGGAAGGTGGTCAATTACATTTAACATCTTTAAACCCACAAAAGCAAAAATGGCCTGTCCTCTGGGAGCCAGGCTTCTCCCTGAGGAATCTGTTTCGACACACAATGGAGCAATTTGCTGTGCAAGACTCTACTATGTAACATTGCAGAAGTGACTGAAGCTCCCTCAGCCAACTCCTCCCCCTGAAAAAGGAGGATAAAAATACTTACCTATCGGGATCCCTGGGTGGCCCAGCGGTTTAGCGCCTGCCTTTGGCCCAGGACACGATCCTGGAGACCAGGGATCGAGTCCCACATCGGGCTCCCTGCATGGAGCCTGCTTCTCCCTCTGCCTGTGTGTCTGCCTCTCTCTCTCTCTATCATGAATAAATTAAAAAAATCTTTAAAAAAAATACTTACCTATCTACATACATAGGCATGGAGAGGTGGTCAAGGTGTGATGTCAAGTTAAAGAGGACAAGTAGCAGAAGTGATGAAACAGTATTCATGGTATGACCCCATCATTGCCAAACAATGGTATATAACACAGCAGTGATAGTACTCTATGTTAGTATACTGGGGACACATACAAAATGTGGCAGCCTTGATTACATGGCTGCTTTATACGGTGACTGGCACTTTCTGTTTCTTTTCTTTTTTTTTAAGATTTATTTATGATAGACAGAGAGAGAGAGAGAGAGAGAGAGAGAGGCAGAGACACAGGGGGAGGGAGAAGCAGGCTCCATGCTGGGAGCCTGACGTGGGACTCGATCCCGAGGACTCCAGGATCACGCCCTGGGCCAAAGGCAGGTGCTAAACCGCTGAGCCACCCAGGGATCCCCTTCTGTGTATTTCTACATGCACACTTAACAAATGCTTTTCATACTCAAAACTATATATATATATATACATATGTGTATGTATATATATAGTTTGCTTTTTAAAAACATATATACATATATATGTTTTTAAAAATACCCAGCTCTCAGGGTTGTTGAGTAAATGATAATGACGATAAAGCGGCACAGGATCTGGGGTGTAGTACTCACTCAGTGAACAGAAGGAGCTCTGTGCAGGGTTGTTTTCTCTTTTAACCACCATTTTCAGAAGCCATTGTATGCCCTCCATGTTACACACCCATCCCAGCTGCCACCCTGTTTTCTTCTCTCCAAGTTTATGCTGTCTTTGGCTGTCTCCAACCAACCCAGTCCTCTGGAACTGGGCCCAGCCCAGAGTAGGTGCTCAGCAATCAGTGTTGTTGAACACCACCAACAAAAGAATGTGCGGAGAGTGTCCAGGTCAGGGTTCAAGGGGTCAGGACTGGGAGGAGAACTCACAGCTTCGGTGGGCTGGGGGCAGCAGGCATCCAGGCAGTGGGCTGGGCTAGGCAGAGGGAAATCGCAGGCTTCTGCACAGGTCCAGCAACAGTCCTGAGGCCTGGAGGCGCCTTGCTTCCTGCAGGGGGAGCTGCAGTCTGTGCAGCAGCCCTGGGCCTAGGAGAAGAAAAGGCATGGGATCTGAGCCAGGGAGAGGGGGGAAAGGAGGGACCTCGAAAGGGAGAGATGCAGGGACAAATGGCAGAGGAGCCTCAGGGTAAGGACCTGCAGATGAGGGCACTGACTGACCGGTTCCTCTTCCCCAGAGCCCACCCTTCGGCCTCCACCAGGCCCCTCACCAGCAGGCAGTGCCTAATCAGCAGCACTACGCCGAGCAGCAACAAATAGATGCCCACAGCGATGAACACGATGGCAGGGATGGGGAGCAGCAAGGAAGGACTGCTGACGGAAGCCGGGGTTGGATTCCATGGGCTAGAGGAGGCCTGGACAAGCACAGGAGGAAGGGGTGACAAGGAGGTGGGAGGGGCCACGGGACTGGGAACACAGAAATACCAAGGGGGACAGCAGAGGTGTCTGAGATGAGAGGGGAGGAGCAGCCACCAAATGGGGGGTAGAGAGTCATTAGGATTACACTATCCTATTCCCCAAATGTGACTTTTCCCTGTCATTCCCATTTCAGGACCATCAGTACCTGTTGGTCATTGGAGAACTTTCCAAGACTTGTTGATCTTCCGCTCAGAATGCTTTTCCATACATTCCATACATATCTATCATCTCTGATTCCTCTGCACCACGTTGCCATCCCTCAGGCCACATTACTGGCCCCTAGATATCTTCCAACCTGCAATTTTGCCCCTTTCCACACTAGCTGTGCTGTGTATCCTGCCCTTTCTTACAATCCATCGATGGCTCCCACTGACTCAGTCCAAACTTCTTATCTCAGTGACAAAGCGCCAGTCTAGCCCTGCCTACCTCTCCCCCCTCCTCCTCTATACTCCAGCCATATTAAAGTCCTAGCAGCTCCTCCAAAGCCCACCCTCTCTGTTCCCTCAGCCTGGGATGCCTCTTCTCCTTGATGACTTGGCAAGCTTCTCATCTCCCCCTGGAAGAGTGGGAATGTGCTCTCCGTGTGATGTCTATGCCTGGCGCTCTCACAGCTCTGGTCCTGCGCTCGAAGGGTCTAGGTTGGGTAACCAGCCCCCCCTCCGGTTCGGGCTCAAGGCAGGGCGAATCTAAGGCCCTAAGGGGGCCGCTCCTGAAAAGGGTAAGGGGGCCTAGAACTCACGTCCATGGGTCAGGACAGGGCCAGTCAGTCCAGGAGCTGCAGAGGAGAGAAGTCCTGGGTCTCAGAGGCTGAGAGGGGTGAACTGGGGTGTCCACTCCCCCCCCCCATTTCCCGTTTGGAGAAACTGAGGCCGAACGCTGGTTCCTGGTCGGGACAGTGGGGATGGGAGGTCCGGGGATGCAGGGCGGCGTCCCCCTCGCAGGCCCCAGGCTGACCCTGGCCGCACCCCTGGCTGTGCCCGCACCCCGGGTTCCTCCAGCGGCCCGTCCCCAGCACCTGCTCTCTCCTGGCCACGGCCAGTTCGCGGATTCCGCGCCGCGCTCGTCCAATGGACCGCGGCGGCCGCACCGCCCAGGAGCTCCCGCTGCTTCGGGCCGTTGCCATGGGGATTCCAGCGGTGCCGCTACGGCGGCCGCCGAGGCCCAGATTCCTCCTCCCCGCGGCTCTGCCCCCGCGGGACCCTCGGCGGCCACACGCCCCCCTCCTAGCCGCCGTCTGCCAGGCTTTCCCGCCATTGCTGAACCGAAAAGGCGGTTTCCCGCTGCCACCTGCCCGGGTCGGGTCCTCATCCTGTGCCGGGTCCTGCGGCGCTGCAAAGGGAAGACCGACAGCCAGGCTGCACCACCAACGTGCTGTGCTGTGGGATTTTGGTCAAGTCACCAAGCCTCGCGGAACCCATTTACTCCCCAGTAGAACCGGGAAACACCTGCCTTAGGGGGATGTTGTCAATTGTATTGCATTCTTCCTTTTTTTTTTTCCCCTCTCACAACTTTACCCCACTCGTTTGTGTGTGTGTGTGTTTTTTTTTTTTTTAAGATTTTGTTTTATGTATTCATGAGAGGCACAGAGAGAGAGACAGAGAGGCAGAGACACAAGCAGGCTCCACGCAGGGAGCCCGACGTGGGACTGGATCCCAGGTCTCCAGGATCACGCTCCGGGCTGAAGGCGGCGCTAAACCGCTGCGCCACCGGGGCTGCCCTACCCCACTCATTTTAATTGACAGTGCTCCAGCTTCAGACCGGCCCATCGCTTCAACCTTCACGTCTCCCAACCTTCAAAGTGATTTCTTCCCACCCACCTCAGATCTTGTACCTTTTCTATTTTAAGCTCCCAAGAACAAAGTCCAAATGCTTGGCTGTCAACCTCATCCACTCTGGGCCCCTCCTCTCTTCCCTTTGTTCATTAGCAGCATATCTCATCTAGGCTCTGGGCCTCCAGCAGGGAATAAAGCAGACAAATTTCCTGCCCTCATGCTGCTTACATTCCACCGGGACAGAAGGATCAGATCGTCTGTGAACAAGTAAGACTGTTCCGTATTCCATCATTCTTCCAAGCTTCCACCACAGGATCTGTTCAGGGTTCCTGAGCCAGCAACAGGTCCCACAGCTCCACACATTTGCAGATACTGTTCCCTCTGCCTAGAACACTTCTGTTTCCCCCTGAAGTACTCCCTCGTCCTTCAAGCCTCTGCTCAGCTTTGCCAGGGGGAGTTCTTCTCAACTGCCTCAGATGGAGGTGCGGGCACCTTATATGCATACTGTTCCAGCACAGATTACCAGGTATTTGAATTCTCCCCAGTTAGGGACACCTGGGTGGCTCAGCAGTTAAGCATCTGCCTTCGGCTCAGGGCCTGATCCTGGGGTCCTGGGATTGAGTCTCACATTGGGCTCTCTGCAGGGAGCTTGCTTTTCCTTCTGCCTGTGTCTCTGCCTTTCTCTCTCTGTGTCTCTCATGAATAAATAAACAAAATCTTAAAAAAAAAATCTCCCCAGTTAGACAGCAAGTACCTGGGTCCGATTTATCCCCATATCCCAAGCCCTGGCAGTTGGTGTGGTCTTGGGGGTCTCCAGGGAGCATTCACTGATTCTATGAATGAGTCAAATCCAATGCCATCCACCAATGAAGTGTTGTTATCCAAAGCCTCTCAGACATCCTACTTTCATTCCTGATCTTTCAGGTTCTACGCATACATGATTGCACTCTACACACTCACATAAGCACACCTCCCCCACGGAGGCCTCAGACTTCATGATTACTACATCAGGGCATGTTCCCCTGAAAGCTGTGCCACCGTCTACCTACTTCTGTCTGTGTTCTCTGCCCCGATGTACCTCACCATAGCTGCTGTTCCTGGGGATTTCCTGCACCACAAGGCAACCACAGAAACTACCAGGGTTCATGTCCCTGGTTCCCAAATCTCCCTTCTTACCTTCAGCCACACTGACAAAATCGCACCCACCTACCCTGCCACCCCCAGCCCTCTCAGAGGGAACTTCAGGCCCAGGAGACAGGAGGCTGGCTGTCCCCAATGTCACCATGGCTGATTCTAAGGCAGAGTCAGATTGCCTTCGGGGAGCTGTCTTCTTGTCTGCCCCATCTTCTTTGCAGAATCCTGAGGCCCAAGATGAGGCCAGTTCCCACCCCAGCCCCAGGGAAGCCCTCAGGTGACACATACTCCCTCCTCCTGTTCTGTTCCTGCCAACAGAGAGACGTCAGCCTTGGCAAGGCCTCTGTACACGTCCATAGCCTGCAGTGGTCAGACTCACTGCTGATGGTATTCTGTTCCTACCACAGGCTCATACATTATGCAGGATGGTGGACAGTACACTGGGCCTGCTCTCTTCTAGACAAACCAATGGGATGGGTGATGTATGCACCCACTCTGCCAAGGCCACTTCTGCCCATATCACACCATTTGTTGGAGGCAGGGAGAAACTGACTTCACAATAGCCAAATCACCGTAAGGTCTTCCTCTCCCTAAAGTTCAAAGCCTGAGATATCAGATATGATCGTGTGGAGTTTTCCACAGTCCCCAGGAAGGAGAGGAAAAGATTATGTACTCTCAGTCATCCTGGGGTAAGGCAGGAGACCTGAGACCCACCAAACACCCGGGAGATGAAGGAAACCTAGTCAGGCCTGTGCTCAGGCATGGGAACAGAAACTGGCAGCTCCGATTTTGATCCTACTTTCAGCCCCTCCTATGGATATCAGACATTATTGCCTCCTAGAGACTAAGAGGACGTTATTAGCCTCCTTTTAGGAAAATGAAAGGCCTATGCTTAGTCACCCCCAGAGAATAAGAAGTCAAGGTGACCCTCTTCCCAGACTTTATCTTATTTAATCCTCACAGTAGATCTGAGTGGCAGGAACCATTATTTCCATTTTATACATGAAAAAGAGTCCTGATGTGTTTGAAAAAGAATTTTAGGTCAGGTAAGATGTAGGTGTGGATTCTAGTTGTGCCACCATGTATCTGTGTGATCCTGGGCAAGTCAGTTACCTCACCAAGCCTAAGTCTCACTCATCTGGAAAATAGGAATCACCTAAGACCCCAGAGGTCTTGTGATAATTGGAGGAAAGGTATGTAGAGTCCTCGGCATAGAACAAGGGCTCCTGAAAAAGTATAACCAGAACAACTAGGAATGAATATCACAGTGAGAAATTACAAGGTGGCACATAGGAACCATGCTTTACACACCTCTCATTCACTCATCCTAGCAGCCCTGGAGAGTACTGCTCCTGTTCCTATCCTCCTTCTAAGAGGTAATAAATCACTTGCACAAGCTCTCCTGGCTAATGAGTGACAGAACTAGGATTCTAGCCCAGGCAGTGGAACTTTGTGTGTATATAACAGGCTCAGAGAGGTTCTGACATTTGATCAAGGTCACACGGCCAATCTACTGGAGAAAAAAGGGCCTGGCCAGACTCTTCCTTTTCTCATTCCACTCACCTACCGTGCCCCTCAGTTTTTTCTACTGCACAGACAAAGGGTGGCGCTGGACTTGTTTAGAACAGCACCTCACCTGGGACAGGTACAATAAGGGTACTAAATAATAAATGCTCTGGCACGCTGGGCGGGACTCTCCCCAAAGCACGGGTAGGGGGAATTGGACCCTTCCCTGGGTATCATGTGGGAAACAGGCCACTTCTAGCTGCTTATTGTTTACTTATTCACAGCCTTCGATGATATCACACCGGCACACCTCCCAGGGCCCAGGCTTCGCTCCACCCAGGCGGAGAGGATGCGCAAGGCAGCATTTGTACACAGGAGCCTGGAGTCGCAGGAAACGGTAAACTCCAGGCCCCGGGGGAACTGTGAGACAGGTGCATGAGGACTGCGCGGGGTGGGGGTGGTGGTGAGAGACTCACCTGAGCCACCAGACTGGGGCGGGGAGCCGGGACCGGCCCCTAGGGGGCGCCACGCACGCAGCCCGTTTGGGGGTGGGGAGCGCTGTCCCCAGGGCGGTAGAGTCCCCGCGTAGAACTGGAGGCTGGCGGGTCTCCCTTCCTCCTCGGGGAGTTCAGGCACTCCTGGAACGCCCAGACCAGGGACCACCGTGTGTGGCACGCGACTCGGCTCGGGTTTATTTTACACGCTACACCCATCTGCAAGAAAGCCGGCGTGCACAGGAAAGCTATCCTCTTTCCAATTTCTCTTCAACACTTTCTGATTATTCCGGGAGTACGTCTCATTTTGCTGCCAAAAGCCCTTTAACACCTCTGTATTCGTGCTTATCTTACCATGTCTTGTCTTTAACAAAGAGAGTGCAGGCCTCCAGCTCAGAATTCGAAGCAGGTGACAGTATCTAGCTGGAAAGTTAAAATACTTTTTTCCTTTTTTTTTTTTTTAAGATAGATTTATTTATTTATTTATTTATTTATTTATTTATTTATTTATTTATTTACTTATGATAGAGAGAGAGAGAAAGAGAGGCAGAGACACAGGCAGAGGGAGAAGCAGGCTCCATGCTGGGAGCCCGACGCGGGACTTGATCCCGGGACTTGATCCCGGGACTCCAGGATCGCGCCCTGAGCCAAAGGCAGGCGCCAAACCGCTGAGCCACCCAGGGATCCCCAACTTTTTTCCTTTTTATTTATATTTTGTTACCTTCTATTTACAACGAGTGATACTGGTTTTCTACTTTTCGGCAGTGATAAAGAGTCTCCTTTTAAAGTATGTGGTGAGAGTAGGTGCTCAACAAATCAGACAACTAGGTTCAACTCCCAGCTATGCCACTTAACTGCCTGTGAGACCTTGAGCAAATCACACAACCTGTCTGTGCCTCGCCTCCCTCCTCTGTAAAGGGAAAGTAATAATGGTACTTAGGTTGTTGTGATGATCACAAGTTTAGTAAATGTAAAGTGTGCCTGACATCTAGCATGCACTGTATGGATGTTTGCTATTAGGTCAAATAGGGCAAAACCAACCAAACAAAACCCTGAAGTTTAGAGAAAACCTCTTTGGTTCAGTCATACCATCGTCCATGTGAGAAAGCACAGTTTTGAAGAAGATAATTAAGTGGCTGAGCTAAGAGCTCTGGATTCCCAACCCATTCACCAGCCGTTTCAGTC